CCCAAATCTGTTAGCTAACTTATTTTTGGGAATTCAAGCTCGTTACGAGAATGGAATATTAGTTAAAAAGGTGCTTTCGTATATCGCTATCGTATATTTAGGTCCTTTTTACTCATTTGTTGGCGGGTAACTGTTTGTACTTATGGTGTATGCTGAATATTCAGGGTCCGTTGCCGGTTAACTATTCCCTACCCTTAGTCGTGTATCTGTTGCATTTGGCAACTATTTTAATTTACTTATATTGTATTGAATCTGTGTTGTGAGTATGGAAATCAATATGATAATCCGTATTTTCCCCGCAAAACAGACCTGATGGCGGTGGCGAAATTTGACCAGCGATATGGCGATTTCCATTCATTTTGAGCTCTGCATAATGATCACAAGTTGCAAGATATCAATTTACGTTTGTATTGTTAGCGCCACGATTGTCGGTACTCCCGTAGTGTGTGTACCAGGTTAGGGTTGGGCCATAATTTCATTCCAATTTTCCTTATTTTAGATCTATTACGAGTTCGGGACTGTCTGTGTTAGCAAAGTGAATATTTTCCCTGCCCATAGGTTTCAGTCCATTTACATAACTTGATATAAAATAGACGAACAAAATTAGTTAGTTACCACCATATTAGTACACATACTTCTAGAATTCAACTAAATGAATGGTTATCATGACTCTATATTAAATTAACTTTCCTTATGGTGCGTGAGACGTGCTGCTTATTTATACTGCCATCCAACGCAAATGGAATTTTGAAGTTTTCTACATCACCCAACTTAGACATTTAATGATATCTTACATATTTCTAATCTACTATCCAGGCCAGGAAATTTACTTATTAAATATAACTGTACTAAAAGGCAAAAACTACCTTCACGGGAAACTAACATGGCAAGAAAATATCCATCAGGTATAATGACTACTAAATATGAAATATTTTACATTATTTTTCACACGTTTATTTTACTTTTACATTAATTCTTGTTGAAATTGGCCAATTTTTGACAACATTTATACTTCAATCCAATTGTTAATACTAAAAGAATATTTATGCCCTTCACCTCTAAAAAAGTATTAAATGTCCACACGTGAGAAAAATACAATTCAAAATTGGAGTTATAACGACACTAATCTAAATAAATGTAACAATAAAACAGGAAAATTTATAAAAATAATATTTACTTAAATCTTTGATTTCAGAACGCCTCGAAGACGTGTTTCAAGAAGAGATCGCCCAAGCTTTTCCTAAAATCGTCAACTTCAAAAAATTCGCTCGTTCCAGCGCTGGGCTGTGTTTGGATGAACACGAGATTTCTGACATTACAGCAGACCATGGAGAATCGGTTGGAGAGCAAAAAATGCAAATGCTATTAAAGTGGAAGCAAAATTCTGGTGAGGTTTATTCTTGGATTATAATATTTCGGTAGCAAATAGTTTTTTTTTACTTAAAAGTAATACCGGTATTATTAGGATCTAGATCAGTGATTCTCAAACTAGGGTTGAGCCGGGTGATGCACAGCAAGATTTCGAGCCTGGTGCTAAGTTGGCAACGACTTTATCCTTTTTGAGCTCTCTTGATAACGAATACCCATCGATAAGTAATCGAGCAATGGAACCGTTGTCGGAATTTTCAACCAGTTACTTCTAGCTTTAATTAAAACAAAGCAAATAAATTGACTGTGAGCCGCTGCAGAGCAACGTGTTGCAAAACTTTTTTCTTTTTGATGACTCGTTCGCAATCCTTCATTGGAATTGTGTTGTGAATGTTTTTTATGCGAGATGTTATATACGTGCCATTCTTACGCATAATGTGTGCCCAGCACTGCATTTCATTACGCAAATATATGTTATTATTTCATGTTCAACCCATTTCAATTTTTGGCCGGTACATTATTTGATAGTTTTTCCTCGTGTGAAATGTTTTTAAGTGTTACTTTTTTTTTACTAAAAGCATAGTGATTGTCCGACATTACCCAAAAATATGTTAATATTTTCTGTTCCACTCGTTTCAATTTTTGCCGGTCCGCGAGTACACTTTATTTATTTTACCGGACCGCCAGGGTAGAAAGGTTGGGACTGAGCCACTTTTGCGTCGATTGATCCGTTTGAATCGGGGAATCCTCGTTTCGTTCATCTGTGGTTTGATTGCTATTTATTAGTATTTACGCTTGAACACAATTTCTACTAATGTATTTAATTATACTGTTAAATTCGGCAAAACCGTGCGGAACTCACCGACAATGACGGTAGTCCCGTCAACAAAATTCCCGATATTTTAATTAGATATCATAACCTTGGGTGTCGCTGCTCGATAACCAGCTTCGGTTCCCCGCGACTTCCCTTCCCCGGTAAATTTGTATGATTATTGGACACGTGAGTGGACCTATGGATCGTCTTGATATTATGTTGTTGTTCTTGTTGATATTCTTCTTCGTTATGATAAAATCACTTTTCTCTTCGAATACTGGACCAATTGCTTTGAAATTTTCAGTGGTTAAAAATTGATTTTATTTCAGAAAGCTATTACTTTTATTTTTTCCTAAATTTTCTATGAATCCTATGAGATCTAATATTTCATCCAAAATTGCTCTGTATTACATTTTAATTATGGGAACACGGTTTTTAATCCACCAAGCGTGACGGCAGACTGTGAAAATTCTTGCGACTGGAAACTCGGAGGTTTTTGAGGGTACGGTACCGGTAACATCAAAAGTAAGAGCTGCTTTGCTCTGGTCCACGTGTCCATATATTTGAGCGTTGCTCTCTTCTTCTAATATTGTATACGATTATTTTGATTATTGGAAAAAATAAACTTGACTTGAACAGTTGTACGATTAACAGCAAATGCGCGACCACGGTTTCGCGTTCTTGCCGAAGATGTCTTGCCAATGATACAAGTCAGTGAACTGCTGCCTACTAGCCTTGATGTAAATTAGTAGCTCTAGAATTTAAATATGGGGAATTTACTCATATTGATAACTATCAACGGGCCCCAGTAACAGTTACTCTTATCAAAGTCTGTCCTCGGACCTGTGAATCAGACAAAATAGGATGGCGAGGTGATTATAAATAGGAAACAAGAGAGACACGAGTGTTGAACGTAACAATGATATGAAATATGAGCGGAGAGGAGGAACTCATTCGCCGTATCTGTAGGTGTTTACCAAATGCGCGTGTAAACGTAAGAGAGTGGTGTTATAAGTATGATTTTTAGATGCAAATGTTTTGATGAAGGATTAGAAGAGCGGGTCTTCTTGGTAGCCATGAGAACATATAAAAAATAAGGTGACCGTACATTTGAACCCATGCGTATATCCACGGGTTCAATCTATATGCGAGTGCTAAAACCCATGGGTTAGGGTTAGTATGAATTTAACCATCCGTGAAACAAAAAAAATTTCATAGGTGCAATAGCATACAGGTGCAATTGTCATGGGTTCAAATGGAATGGAACCAAAAAATAATACCTATTTCGAAGGGTTTTCTTATAAGGTTTTGATAAATCTTGCACCTCTGTTGTATAACATTTTGGAGCAGGATTTTGGGTTGGATAGGATGCGTCAAATTTGTGCTTGGGCTGTATTTGGAAGGACAAAATTTGTACATGATGTTTTGAGGTGTGTGGTAAGAATTAAGATGAATTTAATTAGTATTTAATATTGATAATGTGTGTGATAGGTAGAATAGGTTAGTATAAGGGGCTATTAATTAGAATGGGATAAGCGTATCCGTATATGGGTTGTATTTGATAAAGTGTTGGAAGAGAATTTCTGGTAAATGAGTAAAGTTTTGTATTTGGCTTGAGCATGGATTAGTGGAATTTGTTTTTTAATGTTGCGAGAGTATCTGGGCTAGTAAGTAAAATTAGTATTTGATGATGAAAAAAGTTTGTGTTGGTACTTGAATTATGAAAAGCCTCTGGTTTAGACCTGGATGAGAAAGGTATGGGTTAGGTGAGAATAAATTTGAATTGTATTTAATAATTACATGTAGAGTGAATTAGGAATATTAAAATTAGTATTGTGGAGAGGAGTTTGGATATTACGAGAATGAATATAAATTGATTTAATATAGAATATCAGAATAGATGCTTTGGATATTGCCAAGTTTTGATATATCGAATTTTACATTGTATTTTTAATGTGCATTAATTTCACTTATGTTTGTGAACAAAATATACTCATGGCATTACACAAAGGATTATTTGAAATAGGATAGAATAAGATTTTTTTTTCGCTTGAGACGATGTCGAAAGTAAAGCTTACCCATGTTGAACCATTGCCTTTAGTATAGTTAGAGGTCCAGCTTTATGTCCATGCAAATTAAATCTGGATATTGCCATATAACCCAGATATTAATATTTTAACATTATAAATAGGGCTGTCCAAAATCAAATTTTTTCGATATTGTGATAACGTATGTGCATTTGTAAAATTTGCATGAGTGTGTTTCAATAGGTATAATAGAAGAGTCTTTACCCATAAACTTGTCAAAAAAGGTCCCAGAAATTAGGGTCTCGAAAAATCTCAAATGATGAGAGTTTAAAACTGCACAGACTTGCAATACTTAATTTACTCAATTCCGAATTGGCGTGCACAATATCATTGTTTTTTTCTGCAGACTACGCCTGGAAATTTTTAACCAGATGCCATATCAAGAACGAATATAATATCTTCTTGTGCTGATTGTATAGTGAGTTAGTTAATTTAAATTACGATTCAACTAGATTACCAGTAGACTCTCACATTTCCCCAACTTAGCAAGAAAATTCCGTGGTTCAGGGATATTGTATCTTAGAAACATCAATAAAGTCACACACGTATCAAATATAACTAGTTTATTTTAAATCAGAAGCTTTATTCGCCACTATATTATAAATCAAAATATATAATTTAGCATAAAAATATAAAATCAATTACTATACAAGCGATCCTTTTCTTAATTTTCCGACAAAACCCAATATATTTAGTAATAATAAAATATTTTTAATTGGTACAAATTCAATAACTTCAATTAAATTTAACATTTTTGATGTCGATCATTCTGTAAGCAATGAAGTATATATTGTGAAGACGTCATGTTTTAAATTCTCATGTTATTTAACAACTCGTATCATATCATAATGCTTATTTAAAAGTTCAAGTATAAAACGGACACGTTTGGAAAAATTTTATTCATTCTCAAATTTGGCGAATTTTTTATTTATTTTCAATATTGAAGTATCAAGTTGGCGAATCAACAGCTACTGATAATTTATATAAAGTTGCAATAGAAAATTTGTTAACGCAGCACATTATATATTATATCATGCTTAATCGGAGATTTCACTTTGGGATGTATATAACCTTAATTTTGCAAAAACACTTCAGAGACATTTTTGCATTGACGTGATATTTTTTTGTATTAACTGTCCCGTTTCAAAATTGCTTCTACACGTGCTCCTTTCATTTTATGGATATATACGGGGGTTTTGCAATGATATTATCATAACACATTTCGCGTTCATGCTTTCAACTTGAAATTACAATACATTTTGTACACCAATTGTCACACTTTTTCGTAAGTCAACCGCGGATCACCACCATATGATTTCACCTCTGTCCGACGGCGACTGAATTTGCCCAAAATCTTTCATCTGTTTCAACAGGTTCAACATGATTTGTATTACGATCGAATTTGTACAATGAATGAATTCTGAAAAGTGAAGTAAGGAGAAATTTCATTTTGAGCGAAAGTTTAACTTATATGAGCTCATAAGTCTTTGATTAAAACAATTTGCAAAAATTACTTTAACCCAATCGAATTTTAAGATTTCCGTTTTCCAAAAATAAAATATACTTTTTTATATAATCAACATCTAATTTGATATTTTTATATTTAGTCGTCATGCTAAATCGACAGGTCACAATAACACTGAATGGTAGAAAATGTGTAAAAATTGGAGCTTAATAGCCTTATTCAAACAGTTCATAAAATATATCGTTACTAGTAGTATCATTCAGAAATCCAAACGTAGTTTTAACGCATACTGACCCTTGAGCGTATATAATAAAATATATTTCATTGTCAAGGCTGATAATTCTTTCGAAGTGCCAACTAGAAACCGATAATTGATTTTTCAAAGATGTTTCTTGCCATGTATTATTGTTCGCATCATAGCATTGTAGTACTTGGCCACCTACAAAATATTAACATTATGTAATTTGAACTAGTGCTATGGCTCTGGCATACAAAAAGAATCAAATGCCCAAGTGAAGTTCAATAGTGTGAAGAAAATAAATACTAAATTAACTCACTTAACTTGTTAATCACGATTTGATATTCAACAAATATGATGACTTGCTAACTACAATTAGGACCGAAATTTGTATATTCAATTTCTGAGGTCCCTCCCTATAGTGATATCATACAAGCATCTATAAATTCACTATGCCGTCATAATATAGTATTGTAAAGTCCTATATTATTTCAAATTAGGCGTAATATACGAACATTTTGATACCTAAATTTAACCGCAGCTTACCTACGATGTATGAAATGGAATCATTTGCTTTTGCAGCATATAAAGAAGATTTCATTTCTAGAAGCATAGGTGAAGTCCACTTCCATTTTGAACATCCAGGTTCCAATACTTCGCCACTTTTGAGACAGTCCCCGTTTTCATCCTTTCCACCAAAACAATACAAACGTCCTGAATCACAAAATCACAGGTTTAGCAAATAGTCCAGTTTTTAAAAACCCTGCGTTTAATGTAAATGAGAAGGGACATTAAACTCCGTGTAATGTTGTACATGCATATGAACTTGCTGTGTGCGGGATGCGTTATCTTTGAGAAAAATTTAGATTGAGTCTTAAATTAAAATTATGAGGGAAACTGGATGTTCGTAAGAATATTTCAATTTATAAATATTTCGCGGGCATTGGATGATAAAGATGACAATCGCATACAAGAAACATTCTTTGATTTATCTATTTACACATGGATATCCATATCCAGAATATATAATATCTCTCAGTATAACGTTTTCCAGCCTGGGCGGAATTCCGACGTTTTAGGGGAGAAAATATATACATGTATTTTGTGTAGTGTGACAATTGTTCAGTTATTTAGTATTATTACACCTAATTATGGATATATTATACACTATTCAAACTGAGCAAAAGTTAGGGCGCGTGTTGTGGGTAACACTAGATAAGTATCCAATAAAGATTGAACAAACTTCGAACATTCTTATGCGTAGCGAGGTTGAAATGAAGAGACCCAAAATAGGCAAAGTCATTTATCAAAAATATTTGGGAACCACCGACTGAGTTGAACCACTGACGTGATATGGTCGATGTTTATTCACGCTTTATAGTATTCCGTACCTCCAAATGCAACAACAGCGGGGTCCTTTCTTCCCACGTTCATGCTTTCCAACTCTTGCCATTCGTTAATCGTTGGATCATATCTTTCTACTGAGCCAACAGGGCGTGAATGTGTAGTAGATGTGCGACCACCACACACATAGATATATCCTAAAAAAAAGTTTTCCAAGAAGATACTAGTCTTTTCTATTCCAATGTCAAATTACCTGATTAAATTGAATTAGTATAGGATGTCATCAGATGTGAATATATAGACTATACAATGACAACCGCATGAAAGATTTGGAAAAAGGTGGTAACGGCTTCGTTTATTTGAGTAGTAGAAATTAATGGAAAATATTTTGTACATTATTTGATGGATTGCGACGAAAATATTTAGAGTAAAATATTTCTGGGTATAATTTTAGAAATTTCCAGAAACTTGGTTATCACACTAAATAATAATTTTCATAAAAAAAATCCCAAAGCCAATTTTAAAAATTTTTGTAAAAACTTTCTGTCGCTAAAATTTTTGTATTAGAATAAGCAGAGAACAAAAAAAGTATTCCAGTGAAGATTTACCATTCATTGTAACTGAGCTAGGAAAATATCCGTGAACGCATATCATATTCGACAATATTTCCCATTTTGGTTCAGAATCAGCGTATTTTGTACGATAAACATCGCCATTTTCACCCAACACATAGAGATAATCGTTCATTGTAACAATAGAATACAGGTTGATGGAGAGTTGATTTATTTCCTAGGAACAAAAATACTTTGAAAATAATTTTCTACACAATCAGTAGTATTATCCTTCTTCCTAAATCATCTTACCTTCCATTGACGCCATTTCTTTGTTGCTGGTTTGTAAAAGAAGAATTTGCCATCACGAGACAAGATTATCTCATTTTCATTGCTGCCTTTTTCTGTTGTTCTGTTGGGAAGATCTAAAAAATATATGTTGGCTAAATTGCATTATCTTTATTTTTCGTGTTATAACAGCAAGAAGAATTGGAATTTTTCCACTCCAAGCGATTACTAGGTACAATAAAAATGAGATACTTAGTGAAGGCATTGCCGTCAAAGTAAAGGAACTTTCATGTAACGATATGTTTACTTTGCTTTGTATAATCTCTTTCATAATGCAGCAATGTGCCGTCTTCACGTCTTGGCATATTTTTTAATGATCAATGAAAGAAAAAATGAAGGTTGTTCAGCTTGCGTCAAATAAAAATATTATTATATTAGGCCAAAAAAGGATACTGCCGACAAAAATGTACAACTCTTTTCACCTTGTATTGACTCAGATGGTTTAAGACCTTGAATCCACCCTGTAGCTGTTAGACCCTCGTATTCCATGTTATCATATTCATGACACATATTTTCCAAAATTACATCTGGCGAAATGTCCGAATTACCTTTAAACACATACAATGAGATGTAGAAAGCCCTGAAAGTAATCAAATTTGGAGTGCAGGGATACTCCTAATTCTGTATATTCTGGAAGTAAGCAGACAATATTATTAATAAATGATAATTTAACAATCGTCAAAATAACAGTAGAATAGTGTGCTAATATCGTTAGTCTAACCTAAAGCAAATGTGAAAACTTGATTTTACAGATATGACATTGACCTATACAGCATATATTTACCTGGAGTTGAATATGATTTTTTGTCACAAAAGAGCATATTTACTCATCTGGCATAATTCATTATCAAATAAATTCTGCTAAACTAGAAAAACTTCAATTACTTTTCACCGATCTTCGGAACAATTCCTCGTCCAGAAGCTCATCAGCCGTTGGGCGTTTTTCCGGCTCAAACTGCAACATCTTCTCAAGAAAATTATTTGCTCTGGTTTTGTCGCTGAGGTGCAGATGGCTGAGATCACGGAGATTTTGGTTTTTCTTGATGTACATGTTCCATCCATCTGGATCTTCACCAAATGGATGTTTTCCATCACTCCATACCGCGTATATCACGAGACCCATCGAATATATATCTGATTTTTTTGAAATCTCGTCGTTGTTATAGGTTTCCGGAGCTCTATAGCCATCACTACCAGCGCGCGCGATACCCTGGTCAGTGTATGAACGGCCTTTGCGAAGCTCTTTTGACACCCCGAAATCGGCTATTTTAAGGGCTTTTTTATCAAGCGACAACAAGATGTTATCAGGCTTTAAATCGCGATGTATGACGTCGTTCTGATGGATAAACTGCAAACCCTGGAGCAACTGCTGTGCGAACGATATCGCCAGGTTGTCGTCAAATGGAACGCGCATTTTTTCTCGATTTTGTAGGAAATCAGTGAGATTTCCCCCGTCGCAAAGTTCCATAACAATGAACATTCTTTTACCGAATGTATCATCGTAATACACGTCGGAATGAATGAGGGAAACAACATTTGGATGAAGAGCCAGCTTCAGAAGAACCTTGGCCTCCTGCAGGTTACGTTCGTTGAAATCGAGGAATTTGATCGCCACAGGTCTGGGAGTTACCTCGCTCATCTGCTCTCCACGATAAACATGTCTTCTCCCACACAATGGCCGATTACCGAATGCTCTGTACACTCCGTCGACATTGATATATTCTAATAAACCGAAGGTGAATTGAGCGTGAAACCAAGCAATTTTAGTCTAGTCTAGTCACACATCTAGTTATCAGTATGAGTTGTTACGTCACAAACACCAAGTATGTTTTGTGTGTTGTTATACGATTGTTTCGCGTGTAAGCGCACTTGGGTCGGAATGGATCTTTTCCCGGACCAAGCCTGTGGAATCAGCGTCGCAATTTCTGACTTTCATAGCGATAGTCGAATTTAACATTGTCTTAAGGCACTTAATTAGGTGTGAAACATAAACAAGTGTTATTAACAGACTATTATTTAAAAAGACTCGCATAAACCAAATTTTTTTTATCAAAAATTTCAATTTCCCGACAATTTGTATATGGCGTCCAAATTTCGATTAGACGTGGGTACCCTATGGCCTATGTCATGACTTGAATCCAGATTATCAATTACATGCCCCTAGGCCAGGGATGACGAACCTTTTTCAGTGAGTGGGTCAAAAATTATATTTTTATCGCGGAACAGAAAAGAGTGGGTCACATATATTTAATCAATATTTTATCTATAAGAAACTTCTGAAACAAATCTTATTAGCTTCTGTTGGTGATGTTGCAGCTTTGAACTTAACCTCTATCAGGAATTTATTATGGCACTCGATTTCATGAAATTAGAGTACGAAAACACTCATATGCATTACCAAAAACGTTTAGGATGATGCGGCAAATTATTTTACGGTTCCAAGCAGTTTGGGGGGAATTCCACTCTGATAGTGGTATATTTTTCGATCAGCTTTCAACCACATTAAGGCACTTTTATATAGCCCCATTGGTATTTCAGTTTTCTGGGTTTTTATTTCAAATCTGAAATATTTTTTTCTCAACGGCATTGTAGGCGAGAAACTAATAAAATGCAATGTAGCACCCAGTATAATTCCTAAAACAGTCTGCAGATGCATTTCCGAAAGAGACAGGACGTTGCGATAAATGAATAGATCAATTGCATGGTTATGTCATAAACCAGGGTGGTCCAAGGTTGGGAGGTTGAAGGGCCGCAAAAACTTTTGAGGAGGTCTCGCGGGCCGCAGTCCGAGAAAACCCCAAAGGGATCAAAACGTCGCGAGTTTACTCACTTTAAATATATTTAAGAATACGAGTTTATCGTTCTACTCAGTTGTTCAGGGAAACTATATAAATCTTTCAGTTATTTTAAACTGCTTCCCGAGAAATATCGTGGTATTTTTGGTATCTTTTCACGTGTTTGTTTTTATGATGTCGTCTAAAATTATATTCTTTCTTGACGGATATAACTTGGAAACACACCAAACACTGAGGTTTAACGTTGTTGTGGGTAAGGAAATACGTTTCCCCTCGGTTTACTTCGGTCACCCTTTTTCCACACTCATTGTATGATGAATTGTTATATTTGAAACAAATTATTAATTGTAGCGTGAGTAGGCCTAGTGCTACCGTCAAGAAACAACCAAGTCGGTCCAAGTTGAGACTTCAGACACAGATAATAAAAAAAAATGAATAATACGGCGCTAAGTCAGCTCAGCGGTTTGTCACTGCTGCCACATGACCAACGCTTGAAAATAGAGGAGCGTTTTGACTCGAATGAAGGCACAAAACGTTGCTTCAAATGAGGAGTTACTTGACGCGAGCTCATCTCATCGGCTTGTTCCTGTCTGCACAAGACAATTCATTCTCCCCTCACCGATCACAAGACGTCATTCCCATATAGCAGTGCTGGTTCTCAACCTTTTATTATTGCGCACCACTATGTTTTTTACTCTGGTCGCGTACCCCCGACAAAACACTCTTCTGGGGTTGGGACAAATGACGAATGAAACGCGGTATGGGAGTATTTGACATGGCACTACATCCATTTTAGACCTTCGTGCAAACTTTTATCTTGTTAATTTTATGTAGTAAATAATACTAGCGTATCAATTGAGTGCAAAATCGCGAGAGTATTTGCGTCGTCTGCTAAAAGGCTTTAATCATCAAGTAGCGGTCGAGGGCGATCTCAAAACAAGAACTGATAGCGCTATAAACCCGTTCAGCGAATACATACAGTATGAAAGTGAATGCCCCAACGCCATATTTCAGCCAACTCAAAAGTTGAATTTTGCAATAATTCAAAGCTGCTCGCGTACCACTCGGAAAGCTTCCGCGTAAAACTAGTGGTTTAGAACCACCCGCCATATAGGCACCGTCTTGGCGTTTATACGTACAACAATGAAATTTCGTGATTTTGACAAACATCAATCCCGACATTGAGTTCGGGAAAAAGACAGTTGGAGTAGTTTAAAAATAAATCAAAATTGTTCTCCTGATAAATACAAATATCTGCCAATGGTTTAGTAGTGTATGCTAAAATTGTTCTGCGGGCCGCACGGAATGTGTTGGCTGGCCGCATGCGGGCCCACGGGCCGCAGTTTGGACCACCCTGTGACATAAACGATGTCAGAGCAAATGAATAGCTGAATAACAGTACACATCGGTGCAGACATGCGTCCAAGATTAGGGGTTTTGGAAATTACCATATCGGTCCGGAAATTATCAGTTTGAATATGAGCGATCGTAGCCCTGACTGCCCAACGGTACATTATAATAGTTTATTTATTGTTAGATTAATTTAAGGCCGGCTTTATAAATTTTTATCACTGATATTTTAGCATTTTTTTTATTCGTGCCTTCGCGGGCCACGAATAAAACGCGGTGGGTCACTTTGTGACCCGCGGGTCAGTGGTTCGCCATCCCTGCCCTAGGCCCCTTCCTGAGGTCAACAATGCAAGCCAGAATGGTCCGTCTTGAAGCTTGACGCGTCATCCGCAAAAATGACAAATATTGTTTTGGTTGGGCATGCCTAATCGTAACTTCTTGGTAATAATTACTTAACGCCTTCCGGAAGTATGATCTAGTAATAACAGGTTATTTCCTCATCTAAACGAGAGAATACGTAACAGGGATAGAAAAAGGCTGTTGTTGATTTTGGAATTTCAGTATTTATATAAAGTTAGAATGTAGAATGACGCAATCAGATGTTGTAAATTGTGGTGATAGGCAAGACCAGATGCATAGAACCCTATATAGACCATTCCACATAGGAATTATTGCTTTCATGTATATAATCTCAACGAAGGAGATATTGTAACGACCACCTGGGTTCATTCTGTCATTCAATACACATTGAAAGCTGAGATTACGATTATGACCTCACAGTTTTAGGAAAAAATGAAGAGCCGACAGTCTCTGCATCTTATGAAAACAATATATTCCATGGTATTTCGATTCAAAATGTCACTTAAGATCTTTCTATCACATCTTTGTATATTATAGTGATGCGGAATAAAAAAAATTTGCTTTAAATATTTTCACCAAATTTTTATTTTCGTCCCACTGCAATAGAAATAAAGCCAGTTATCACTCTCTTGAATGAACTAACATAAAGAGACCGAAATAACGTTTCTGAAGATACATAAATATTGTATTTGGCATAAATACCAGAAACATATGACGTCATATCGTAGTGAAAATCCAGCTGTGCTATGACTTTCACGGTCGATATCTCAGTCTTGTTGTTTTGGAAAAGGGAGGGAAAGTACTATTCACGGAAATAGACAAGTAGTTGTTATCGCTATTCTGTTTACTACGGCTGAATACGATTGAAAATTCTCGAACAAAAATTTTTGAAAATTCTGTTTTAACAGCCCACCTCGGTAGGGAGAATAGAAATAACGCTCTTTGGCAGCCTCACGCGTAAAGAGGTCTAAAAGTTTTTCTCAGAGATATTTGATTGGTAACTCTAGCACGTTTGAACGGGGAGGAAAAATTGTTTATATAAAAAGTGTAAAAATCCCTGAGGGCCTACCGATTACAAAGGGTTTTAATAGATACCTTAATAATCGCTAATCAGCAATCTTGTATTTCTAAGCCGCCATTTTGTTTAGGTGGAACTTAGGTTATGCTGCATTGCACCATTAATAAAGATCCGCGAAAAAGTATTTTTTTATTGATGATGAAGAGTTTATGAATTCCAACTACGAGAACTATCAAGAATGCTCTTACCCATGATTAACTATAATAGAATTATCATACCTTTGTTCGAATCGCCGGCTTTGTATCCACGAACGATAGCTCGAATTTTTGTAACTGTTGCCGCAGAACCTAAATGTTGAATAAAACATACATAAACATTGGAAACACATCCCTGGACTGTCATGAATATGGGATTCCTAGCCAGATAAATTGACTACTTATGTTTGAAAGGAAAGTTCAAGTTAGTAAATATACTAATATATTATCAAGTCTATAGCATGAGTCAGTCAAGAGTTATGTGAATTATTTTCAATACCAAGTTGATTTGGGAGCTAGAAATATCAATTTTAATCTCATCTTCGGTTTAGTTTTAAAATGTTCATTTGCATAGATCTCTTATTTGGAGCAAAAATTTATTAATCTCGTTATAACTGTGAAACTTTTTGGAGAAAAAAAAAAATTGAAATCTATAAATAAAATTTTGGGCAGTCACCGAAATTTTGCTGCCACTTCATCAGCATTTGCATTTTTTGCTCTTCAGCCGATTCTCCATGGTCTTCGACGATGTGATCAATCTCGTGTTGATCCAAACACAGCCCAGCGCTGGAACGAGCGAATCTTTTAAAATTGACGATTTTAGAAAAGGCTTGGACGATCTCTTCCTGAAATACGTCTTCGAGGCGATCTGAACGGTTAGTTGATAATTTAATTATAGCGTTTCACTGTAACGTTTTGACTTCAAATTATGCTTAGGCATTGTGGTTTACTTATAAGTAAAAAAAATTAATACTATTTTAATGTAGTTTATGCAGACAAATCTAATATTATATATAAATTGGAACAAATACATATTATCGCTTGAAATCGCCGGCTAACCTAAATAAGAACGATCCAATGTAAGAAGAAAAAAAGTAGAAACATGATTATTTTTTTGGTTGCCACCGTACCTGATGGATATTTTCTTGCCATGTTATTTCTCGTCAATATATTTATGGCAACGTAACCTAACACAGCTATATGAAAAATTAAACGTATGGAGAAGTCTGAAAAAAATAAGATGTGATTTAATATTACACCCCTTATCCAAACTGTCAACAAAATAGTCCGATTACATAGGATAGGAGTTCCGATTAGCCTGTTATCTTGTGGTATCAGTTGCGTAGTAACATATTAACAGAAAGGGCCATTGAGATTGCGAATAAATTTTTAAATTTTTTAGGTTTGGCACAAGACTTATTGTTGTTCAAGATTGCTTTTGTAACACTGTAAATAAAATTCAGTTCATAAAATTTTATTTTTCCGTCACCTTTATATGAATCGTCAGTAAATGTGGGCAAAATATTTGGCCCTGGCCCAATAACCTTGCCCATTCCATGGTTCAAATGTTGCTAGAAGGGCCGAAGTGAAAATTACTGCAAAGTTTGACGTCGGTCGGATTTTGACCAAACTACAATAGAAATCGGCTCTATTTACGAATTTCTCTGTGTTAGTCGGTTCCTATCATGATAAGCGCGCAAATGTTAAATATTGATCCAATACTATGAAAAAAATGTGTAAATTTCCGTGCACGAAAGCGTGTTTGTACTGCAAGAAAATCTCATTAGATAGTCTCAATACTCCTTTTAATTAAGAAAATACAATTATTCTGATTATACTTCATGTTTGTAACGTTACCAATCGACAATAATTATACGTAATGACGTAACAGATACAATTTGTGGAGCGTCTCAGAGCCTTCTTACGTTCATACAAATATTTATGCATGGGTGTAACCATTGCTCCTTTTTAGTAGTTTTGCGTGTTATTTGTCAGTTTTCAGTTTGTGTTTGAAAAATTAGCTCCATATCAAATAATTTGATTAAAATGATGTCTTTCGAGGAGCTTTAGTTCACTTGCAATATTCAAAAATTCGTCCCGCAAACACTGTGATAGACTAGGCTAAAATTAGCTATTATTACGTATTAGCGGCATGTGGTTGAATACAAATTAAAAAATAATGAGTTTAAACATGTAAACCAGTTGTAAGCGACAATGCTCCAAGGCGTTCAAAGTAATCGTCAAAGTTTTGGAATAGTAAAATATTGGGAGGATTTTTCTGAGGTCAAGGGTCGGGGATACCTCATGAAATCTGAATCCACGCATTACATTATATTCGTTGTTGTAGAAAATACTTGTTGAAGATTTATCCATTGTGACAGTGTTTATTGCAAAGTTCACTTGAGCAAAATTATAGGGCAATCGCGTGCAAGCATGAGGCGCCATAATGCTGTATAGTGAGCAAACGTCGGGCAACCTGATAAGCTATTTAAAATTTTGCAATAGCCCAAACGAGCCTATTAATTCAACAGATATATTGTTTGCTGAACAACGACGCATGCGAGGTCACACTGACAAAAGTAAACATTACACGACACGCAGCGACTAATCTTAAATAAAGAGATTTGCTTTTTAAATCCTAAAATAAACTATCTATGCCCTATGCTCACAGGTTGGAATGTATGAGTCGGGCTTCTTACCGTCGGTAAGGCGTCGATGATACCTCCTTTGCCATCCAAATCTATACATGTTTCCCATCTATAACCGTACTCATCACCAACCAAGGCTGTACGATAGGCCTTGGCTTACTTTGTGATCAAGCAAGGCTGTGTAGCGTTTCCACTTATTCAGGATAAAATGAATTTCGAGTAAAAAACCCTATGGTTCGGCTTTTGTCCCGCATGTTACATAAACAAAATGGCGGGTGGCATACGCGAATTAGGAATTGCTATCAGCACGGGCATCATTCGACTTTGATGATTTGTTTTTTGCTTTTAATACATCACAAAATTGATTTCGACACTTTCGCATGCCATAAACACCAAAATATCGTTTCGATAAAGCCTAGCATATATTGAATATATTGGAATTTCACCTTAGTTAGCCGACCTCTTTTTTCGAAAAAAATTTCATTATCAGACTGGTCCAATTTATGCCCGTTCCATTTTATTGAAAGTTTCGTATAGGACGCCCAAGCGAATTACAATCCCGTGTCCACGCCTATCATGCCTAAGACCGCTCATCGAAATTCTTCTGCAATAAATTCGCCGAAAAAAATGATTAAAAACATTTGCGTTCAAACATCTGTGCACTTTATTAAAACTCAATAGTTAATTTGTGTCGTTAGTTATGTCCAGTAATATTGAATTGAAATTTTAGTTAACCCTATACTAATTTGCTGAAAAAAAGCTCTGAGCTATTTCGAATAACAGGAGATATGTCGGACTTCTCATCTAAGGACAGAAACCAAGCTCTATAAAATTTAACAAACAATCCGGGATTCAAACTATGGTCACTCGAAAATCATAAAACTATTATTGTTAGTAGTAGCAAAAACAATTATATGCTCATAATGATAATTTCGTATTTAACAGATATCATTCCACTTTTCACAATTTTGTCTTGAAAAACGTAACTTTTCAAAAGGTATCATATCTATTAGCAGTACGTGCTTTCAGGTTACATATACCTTTTCCCAATATTATGATGGGGCATCAAGTGTTGGGTACATATTTATTTTCCATCAGCTGATAGAGATCGTCTCTGACTTGCGCGATGATTATTTATTGAATCGAACACGGCCAGCCCGGATTATACTTAAAAGCTTTAATTTGTGCTTGGCCATAGAACGGCATCCACCACAGCAAAAATAAGCGAAAATTGTTATACAACCTTTTCAAACTGTTTTTTGTAATATATTTGTCATTTACAGATATTTTTTATTTCGATAATTTCAAGTTTCAACTTTTCATAATTTACAAATGTCAATTTAAGGAAATTCGATAATTGATCATTTTTTACGAATTAATTTGAGGAATATGCGCACATAACTTTAAATATTCACATACTTCATTACATAAATAACCCTGTTCATTTCGGTGTTGCAAAGTCTAGTGACCTTCCAAATAGGCACGTATAATGAGATAACTAACCGAAGGAAAGCTTTGAATTCCTAAACATCGGCGGTTCACGAAAACTCATCTCCTCTGAACATAACATTACCGTGATTTGCTAACCTTTCACAACAAAGAGACGAAATAGGTGTAGTGGTACGATTTCAGGACTAAACATGGTCGCCAAGTCTGTAAAACCCTCAAGAGTATTACGTTTGTGCAAACCCACACAACAGGTTTCGTAGTCTAATGAGCCAAGTAAAAAAATTCATAATTTTTTTATAGCAGCCCAACACGACCATTTTAACAGCAACCATAATAAAAAAAAGAGATGGTGCAAGTGTGCAAATCTGAAGTGGGTCGCGCGGACAGAGGGGCTCGGAGTCAGTCAAGAATGAAATATAGAAAAATACATTTGTCAAATTATATCATACTATGCCACATTATTGTAAGTTCGGATACTTTTTAATGATCATCGAGATGCATGCAAAATTTTAGTTAATTTTGTTGAAGAGGTTCTGAGCTATATTTCAAATACTCGGGAAGATAAGAATATTGACTTTTATCATTCCAGGACGCGCGACGAGCGTTGTGTAATTTTCTCGTATATGGCATTCATATATTTCAGCGTATAAAACATTCATACCTATACATTTACTAACTTGCACCATGCTATCGTGCTTATAACAAGTAAGCAAATATATGGCTTGATCCAGATTTGTGAAACATTTTTGTCGGTTTTTATATTGAAATTTCATGTTCTTGCATCGCACTGTCACGCATGTAAGCCCTTTTTTAAATATAAACTTAATGCGGAAAAATCTGAATGCTGACAAGGGCCACACTAAAGAGCTTGGACCGACTGTTGCACACCCCTGATTCAAACTATACATTTACTTACTTGTTATGAGCACGATAGAATGGTAAATTTACTACCGAATAGTGCGTTACGTCATTGACTAGCTATGGACAAATTTTGAACGCTGTACCAGATCTTCATTTCCTTATTTCCAAAAAAACAAACGCAGTTTTATTTGGGCATGTTCGTATACTCCTAGACCTAGCTCTAGAAAGCTTAGGCGTTATAAGGAGATGAACCCTAACGTCAAGCCTGGCCGTGGTAACTCCAGTCGGGATAGGTATAATTTAATCATCCCACTGTGTGCTAGTTTCTAATGGGATAAGCGCACAAACATTTAGTATTGTTTTATTACTTCGAGCAAAGACGAGTAAATTTGACGTAAATAAAAACGCCGCTCAAACGTGAAAAATCTGATTTTTGATACTTCAATTCAAGTCTATGTTGAAAAATAGAGTTTACTTTCAAAATTTTGTAATGTTTCAATGTGCAGCATTGACAGGACTTTGGATTTTAAAACTACTAGTGGCAACCCCGTGAGATTTTTATTTGATAATTCTGCAAGCTGAAGAACTAGAATACATTCAGCAAATGTGCATAACGTCTAATTTTCAGTTTTTAATCATAAAATGATTCTAATCTAAAAACCTATAACAATTGTGGGATTTTGTGAAATCTCGTGTCGGCTAATTGTTGAATTCCTCAAAAATCTATAGTCGTTGACGCTTGTGCAAAAAAATTTATCATTTTTAATTTGAAATGAGCAATCGTCAGACGTTTGTGTTATATCTTGAAGATATATTGTTTGATAGTTAAGGGCGTCAACGGAGTCGCATAGAGACAAGTAAACATCACTACAACAAAAATAGCTCCTCTAGAATCGGCTATTATATTTTCGTCGATCAATTAAGTATGCGTGGGTTTGTAAGTTAAAATTTCGTGGGCAGCAATTATAATGAAACAATATTATATTTCTTTCAAACGTTACTGACATATCCTAAAGCTTCATGTGGAAAATTGGGAATGCGTCTAATAATTTAATCGCAACAACATGTTGTGCATCACATGATATCTAAAATGTTGCAACTTGAAAAACTCGGATATCATGCTCCAATAAGTGCAATAACATACTATGTTATACTTTTTATCTTAGAACCTGCAGAATACAGGCACCAAGCCCAATATTGGACTGTCTTTATACACATTATATTGTATACATTCGGTGCACGAGTCTGCTCCATCACATATTCAATTAGCAC